ATAGGTATGTTTTCATTAGCATATAGTCAACTAAATATAGGAAATGTTGTGTTTCCGTTACCTTAGAATGAGCAGTTTTTATCTACAGATGCTGCGAATCGCCTTCCTGGAAAAACCAAACGCTAGCTGTAGATAAAGCCATTTTTGCGAGTTTCGCTGACACTGTAGTTTCTCCTACACACTCCACAGCCGGTTCTAATTCTCAGGTCCTCAAATTCAGATGTGAGCAGTGTTCAGTTAGTTGCAATCTGCAACTTCACCACTAGAATCCACTAAACCCTACACACTGGTCCTTTAATATTCTGTCTTTTTGGTTAAATATTGTTGGAGTTAGCTTTGGTTTCTAGTAATAAAATCTTGATACTGGAGAACTACAATAAAGGGAATCCTTTCTATATGTTATTTACTTTTTTCTTTAACTTCTGGTTACCACAGATTGACTAAATGAGCTATAATTTAAATTCAATGTGTGGGAACTGGAACAATTGCATTGATTTATCTTCTTTTTCTTTTTAAGAATTGCTTCATGTTGAGTGCTTGTGTAAAACTATGATTTACATAAATGATCAGTTTTGATATTTCCTAGAAATATCTGGACATTTCACTATAATAACGCGTAAGTCAACACAATCAATAAAGCTTTGCCCAAAACCATCAATTTAAAAAACCAACAAGTGAGTGAATCACAAATATGTTGGTCGACTACAGTTTTGATCAGCAACCTTGTCCATTACTCATTAAACCTCATTATTAATGAGGAAACTCAAAGCTGAGGACAGCAAGTAGAAACATCACCCCACTTCCTCTGGCAGCTTCTTGATGTTTCCCTCTGGTGTTTTCATTCAGAGACGTGTCAGGGTGTCTGGGTTTGGAAGGCATCCGATGGCCGTGTGTGCATCTTGGTGCTGAGGAGGGAGTTGATATAAGGCCAAATCCTGTCCGTCTCTGTACCAGAAAATGAGTGCAGGACTCCCTGTGACCTTAGTGAAGAAATAGGAGACCAATAGGAAGAAATGCTGGTAAGAATAAACTAAAATATTTATTGATTGATTGTTGTTAAAGGAGAAGTCTATTTAACATGGCACTCCTGTAACGTTGTCAGACTCACGATGGACAGTTCTAAAAAAAAAGATTAAAATCGATGCAGCAGAACCAAAACTGACACTTACATTAACCATAATGCAACTCAACCAACAACAGTCAGAGATTTGGGTGTGTTATGCTAGTCGTGGCTAATGTAGCACATAGCCAGGAGCCACTAGCCTCAAGCAGATATGAGAAGCGGTCTACAGAGGTCCAGTGAGCTCACTTCTTTCTGACTCCCCATATCCTGTTTTTTTTTGCATTTTCAAACTTGTAGTCTTTAACCCCTGACCAACACACTTGTTTTTACATATGCAGTGTCAACAGAGCTTGGCGGGTTTAAATTGGTGGATGTCCCCTTTAAGTATGTCTATCTTTAACTTTATACAAATCTAAATTATCATTACGAACTGATGCAACTCATATTAGTGTAATTACATCAAATGACTGTCCAAGAAATGTGTGTTCTTCTGATCACTTTTTTTTGGTTTTATTATAGAATAAAATAAACTACTGATCACAAAAAACATCTTAGACTTGAGAAATAATTAATGCAAGAAGCTACCACATTGACATTATCCTTTGCAAGTTTTGTTATTGTTTAACATCTGGGTTTGATTTTCTATGTGCAACATTGCACATGAAAACTAAAGACCGCTTTATGGTAATTCTGTTGGATTAGCTATCTCAATAGAGTTTCAATCTGATATTCTATATGTTAAAAGCAAGAACTGACACTGATGGCTGCCTGCAGGGAAATCACTACTTAAAATAGTGTAGGTTTTCCAATGAAAGGGAGTTATTTACTGACTTGTATAAGTCTATGACAGGCTTGGCCACATCTTTGTAGTGTCTCAGTCTGGCCATCAGGGCTTCTGGTTTGTCATCATCGTGCTGAATCAGTGGCTCACCAGTGATGTCATCCTTACCCTGGGGAAGGTCACACATACAACAATGCAAGAAAGGTCAACACTGAAATCCCATCACAGAGGATTACAGCACAACACAGTAAAATATAACTCATGCTGCAGGTAGACACATATCTGCTGTCATTACTTCGTCAATGTCAGGATCTTTTGGGGTTCAGATATGCAATGGTCATGAAATTTGGTAAATATTTCCAGTTGCTGCTTGAACCAGCCATTATTAATGCAAAAATTTTATAGCCAACTTAAGGTACTATCATGTGATTGGTATCAATGCTCCTATGTCACATAAAATGTGAAAAAAAATTTATTTTGTGCATTCTCTTTAATAAATAGAAAAAAGGCTGCACACAAACGTTATTATGTAACTAACTTCTTGTAGGGGGGCCATACCGTTGCCAATGGTACACACAGGCTGTAAGAAATACAGAAGGTACACTGGAGCCAGAGGCAATTTGCTGTCAGGGCACCAAAATCTCTGGAATAATCTAACAGTATCCTCTTTTAAATCTAGACTAAATACTTAATTTATTTTAATTAAAGATGCTTCAAATAATAGTTTTCCTGCTAAATTAACAAGTTATAAATTCTTAAAATGACAATTACTTCTTCACCTTAATCGAAAAATCTAGAATCTATGAAGATGAGAATGTTTCTCTTCAAGAGTTTAACTACAGGACACAAGTTGTCTCCTACTGCATATTGGACATGTAAATGTTTGTGTTTATAATGTATGTTTTATATACTTGTAAGTATGATTATTGGTTAATCAGTTCTTATGTCTTTGAAGCATTTTATAAAGTACCATATGAATAAAGGTTATTACTACAGATTTTGGTTAAGAAAGACAACAATATGAAGTAGTGAATTACATCCGTGCGACAATAGGAACCTGGTAAAGCCAAATAGCTAGCTGCAGGAGTGTTGCTGTTGTGCAGGAGGTTGGGGTAATGAGTTAGGAGATTGTCCTTCATCTGGTTCCAATCGCTCATTTTGACAAGCTTCCACCCTGCTGAAGCCAGACATTAAATCCAGCTCCAAAACCCACTGACACAAATCCTTTGAGGAAGAAACTCAAAGGACAAAACTGACCTGCAGGAAATCAATAAAATGCCACAAAGAAATCTAAATGCCAAGCAGCACATTTTAAGCACTGTATACTGTCACAGACCTGCACTCGTGGCGGGTTGAAGCCCATGTTATAGACTCTACCACTGGCTGGATGGATCCAGCGGTCACTCAGTCTCTCCCTCAGAGTCTCGTAGGGGATGTTGAGGCTGATGACCAAGTCGAGCTGACACAAACTGTTCAGGGCTCGGGCCTGTGTCAGAGTCCGGGGAAAACCTAGACAAAGAACCGAGGGAAACTGCGTGAGACATCGTCAACCAGCAACAGTTCAAGTTTTATGTCATCAATTATAAGACTGTGTTGCATTTGCATTTTTAATGATCGTCATTGTGAGTCAGTAACATAAGGAAGACGTACTGCACATGAATAATAGAGCATTTCACAGTTTCATACATACATAGTGTGTTTCCTGTTTAATTGTTTGCTTATTAGTACCCTACTGCAAATAAACTTGGACTCAAGCTGTTTCCAGTGTAATGGCCTATAGCTGTGACATAATAACAAGATTATGTACAGATGAATGAACTTGCTAAAAAAACAATGCTCTCCGTTACATGACCTGGACGAACCACCAGCAGTAATAATGAGACAATAGAAGATTTTACAGATTTTACAGTCACGCTGACAGCTTTGTGATGCAAGCCCCTTTGGTGCTTTGAGTTAAATGCTAAAATCAGCATGCTAACTTGTGCACAATGACAATGCTAACACGCTGGTGTTGAGCAGGTAATCTTAATTTTGCTTGTTAATTAGCACTAAACACAAA